TGAGAAACCGGAGGATGCTTCTACCAAACCTTGGGAAGCCCTCCGCATCAGCCAAAAGGAGTGGGAAAGAAGATCTAAACTGCGCGTGTGCTTGCATTGTCAAAAGCCTGGGCATGCCGTGCAGGACTGTTACCGACTTCAGGGAAACAAGCAAGGGGCGTAGAGGAGTTATCAGCACTCTCTACAGCAAGGGGAGCTGAACAGTCAGTTGCAGGCCCTTCCAAGGAGCCTGAATCTGATCAACAGCTAGCTCTTGAGGCCCAATCTGATGCTGATTCCAAGGCTGACACGGTCCGAGTGCTATACACTGAGCCTTGGGAGGAGTCTAAGGAAGTAGACTTCCACGCCCACATGGAACATTGGCTGCAGCTCAAGCAGCAGCGCCGTGTCCAGGGAAGTGTGGAGTTGACCTTCTTTAAACTTCTCATTAACCGCCGATACATCCGAGTGCTGATCGACAGTGGTTCAACCACTAACTTCTTCTCTCCTAACGGGATTCGAAAGGCGGGCCTGGTTATGAAGCAAGTGGAACTGCAGAACCCTTATCGGACTTAGGTAGGCAACCAAGAGGTTGTCACTTCCACTCATGTCGTCAAAGGTGTGCGCATCACCTTTGACAAAGACCGCACTGTCACGCATGAGCTCAACTTCTATGTCAAGGACGAGTGTCCGTTCGATGCAGTCATTGGCTTGGGCTGGCTAAAGGCTCATTGCCTAAGGACCACATGGGCGGACAATCAGTTCGTGGTGCTTGATGCCAAGGGGAACGAGCGTACTGTCTTGTTGGATGAGACGCGCGAGTCCCCTGTGACTCTTCTCAGTGCTAACAAATTCTGCAGATCGGTGCGCAGGCGCAAGGAAGGTGAGTTTGTACATATAGCTCTTGTMAAGCCTTTCCATGTGCCTTCTACTTTTGCTGCATTTTCTTCTTCKGAAGGTAACTCTACTTCTACTCCTGTTCCATCTACTTCTACTGTGAATACTCAGCCTACTTCTGATTCGGAAACCTCTAAACCTGTTGTAATTGCTGTAAAATCCCAGTCTGATTTTCTCTCCCCTGATGAGGATGATCCTCCACCAGAAATCCCAGCAAGCATTCGCCTCCTATTAGATCGATTTTCGGAAGTGTTGGCTGAACCTCGCGGAGTTCCCGAGMGTCCAGTCAAGCACAAAATCGAGATAATAGAAGGGAGTGTTCCTCCAAAAGGCTGCGTCTACCGTATGGGGCAAGGCGAGTTGGAGGAGCTGCGGAGACAGATTGACGATATGATTGACCGTGGTTGGATTAGGCCTAGCGAGTCTGAGTTCGGTGCCCCTATCTTGTTTGTGCCGAAGAAAGGAGGCAAACTCCGAATGTGCATTGATTACCGTGGCTTGAACCGGATCACTAGGAAGAATGCGTACCCTTTGCCTCACATTGATGATCTRYTGGATGCGGCCGGTGGTTGCAAGGTCTTCTCCAAGATCGACCTCAAGTCTGGCTATCACCAGATTGAAGTCGATCCGAGCGACCAGCACAAAACCGCGTTCAAGACACGCGATGGGCTGTACGAGTTCATCGTTATGCCCTTCGGTCTCACGAACGCACCAGCCACATTCCAGTCCCTCATGGACAAGGTACTCCGCCACCAACTTAACAGGTTTGTGGTTGTGTATCTTGATGACATTCTGATTTTTAGCAAGTCCATGGAAGAGCACGTCAAGCATCTTGAGGAGGTCTTGCAAGTCCTCAAAGATGCTCAACTGCACCTCAACTTGGAGGAATCTGAGTTTGCCAGGGACAGCGTCATCTATCTTGGGCACTAGTTGTTTGCGAGCGGTCTCGAGCCGGAGGCAACCAAGGTTGAGGTCATCCACAACTGGCCTCAACCAGCAAATGTACGCGAGCTGCGTTCTTTTCTTGGTTTGGCCTCTTACTATCGGAAGTTTGTGCCTAAATTCTCTGTCATTGCTCATCCACTCTCAGGCCTGACTAGTAAAAATGTTGCCTATGCGTGGTGTGAAAAGTGTGAGACTGCGTTCCAAGCCTTGAAAAAGGCTTTGGTGAGTCATCCTGTGCTCCGCATTGCGGATCCCAACCTCACGTTCGTAGTCACTACGGACGCGAGCCAGTTTGGGATTGGTGCAGTGCTGCAATAAGATGATGGCGACGGCCTGCGTCCGCTTGAGTACTACAGCAAACGCATGCCCAGCCACAAGGTAGCCACTTCCACATACATGCGAGAGCTCTACGCCTTGCGCGAGGCGCTCACGCATTGGAAGCACTACCTCTTGGGTCGCCACTTCAAGGTCTATTCAGATCATCAGACCTTGCAGTGGATTAAGACACAAACTGATCTTTCTCCTACGCTGATCCGCTGGTTGCATGATATTGATGTTTTCAACTTCGATTTGAAGCATAAGAAAGGCTGCTATAATCGCGTTGCTGATGCTCTATCCCGTCATCCTGAGTACTTGACTTGCCTGGTGGATTCGTACGACCTCCGAAGGCAACTGAAGGAGGATCTAATCGAACACACCGCCAAGGATCCGGACCTTAGTCCCATCCTTGAGCAGCTCAAGGTTGACCCAAACGGCCAGCCTGATTTTCATGAGTGCGATGGTCTTGTATTCCGCCGGTATGGAAAGTTTGATCGCTTGTGTGTACCTAACCATGCGCCTCTCTGGACGCATTTTCTGGATTTGGCACATGGTTGGAGTGGACATTTTGGCTTTGAGAAGACTTGTGGAAGTCTTCTCCAATAGTTTGATTGGCCGGGAATGAAGGGATCTGCTCAGAAGTTTATTGCTGAGTGTCAAGTCTGTCAAAGAACCAAGGTCCACAGGCATAAGCCTTACGGCCTGCTGAGACCTCTCCCAATCCCTGATGGTCCCGGGGAATCGGTCTCTATCGATTTCACGGACATGGGAAAGGTGAGTTCGGTCGGGAATTCCTAAGTCATGGTCATTGTGGACCGCTTCTCTAAATTTCTGAATCTGATTCCCTTACCTCCTCATGCCCCAACTGAGCTGGTGATCGAAGAATTTCACCAGCAGTACATTCTGCAGTATGGGCCCCCGAAAACTCTTGTGAGTGATCGGGACACCAGATTTATCAGCAAGGACTGGAAGGACTTCACTGCCCAAGTCTATGACATCACACTGAACATGACGTCTGGTTGACACCCACAAGCCAATGGATTGGCTGAGGAAATCAACCAGACCGTCACCCAACTGCTCCGCGCATTGATTGTGCCAGACCAGAACACATGGGATAAGGAGTTGCACAAGGTAAAAGGACTGTACAACAACTCCATCCATTCTGCAACCGGTGTGACACCGAATCAGTTGCAGTATGGATGGCCGATGCGTAATCCCGTCTCCTATCTGTTCCCGGATCGGTCACCTGGTCTGATGCCCGGCATGCCTGGCTATAATGCCAAATACGCACGCTTGCTCAAGGCTGTTATGGCAGCCATGAACAAGCGCCAGCATGCCATGATCAAACACGCCAACAAGCTGCGCAAAGAAGCGAAATTTAAGGTCGGGGACTATGTTTGGGTTAAGATGTCTGAATTTTCTGATGAGGAGGGCGTGTCACGGAAGCTTCTTCCACTATACTACGGCCCTTGGCAGATTCTGAAAGTGATTGGGGATGATTTCGGCCCTTCGTTTGTGATTGACGTGCCGCCTCATCTGCGCACGTAGCCAGTCTTCCACGCCTCCAAACTGTTTCCGCACATTGATGATAAAACTTTTCCCTATCGTGACCCTATGATACCTCGCCCTATCGATGGCGGCCATGAGATCGACAGGATCGTTTCTCACGAGGGTAGAGGGAGGAACAGACAATACAAGGTCCACTTCCTCTATCACCCGTTGAACGAATTCTTCTGGATCGACCGGAAAGAACTGCTGAAGAGCACCCCACGTGTAGTGAACACATATGAACGACAGGTTGCTGATGGACAGACCGCTAAATTCGCTGCGAAACTCACCCCGTTCGGTCTTACTAATGCCCTCTTTCTGATCTATGCCTACGATGCCTTTTGTGCCGACTCTGAATGAGTTACTCGCTCGAAGGGACCTCGCTCTTGAGAGGGGGGTAGTGTAATGACCCGCCAAAAACACAGACTGAGAACACTGCGGATTTCTGGGATTTGCCACTGGAATGAATGCCTTGCTGTGATTCCCGCATTCTGCTGTGTTTTCCAAGTCTGTGTGTGTGTGTATGCCTGCCCGTTTGCTTGCCTGTCTGAGTGCTTGACGGTTAGTGTGTGTGTGACCCGTGAGGGTACCTGTTGGTTGCAAGGCCCCGCAGGGCCGGTACTTACCTGTGGCTGTGACTTTGAAGGGTTGCAGGGGGGTTAACACGCAGGTAGCGGGGGTAGGCCCACGGCAGCAGCTGGGGAAAAACACTCAAGTAGCAGGTAGGCCGAGCAGAAGAAGACAAAAAGTTGGCATTTTTAGAGGCCCAGTAGCGGTAGGCTAGAGGTAGGCCGGTACCAGTCCAAGTAGCCCGGGTCTAGGGCCTGTCCGGACAATAACAGAGCCTGCAATGATGTTCCCTCCGAAAGTGAGGAGGTACCGGTTGCTGGGAGGCCGCTCGGCCTAGGAAGTCACCGCCCAGGAGGCCGGAAGGCCGCTATATCTTCAGGGGGAGCACCTTGCTCTTCCTCATTTGCGGTGTGCAAGGATTGGCGACATGCTGCTGGAGCGCAGCGCTCGTCCATACAGCGCTGCTTGGAGGTGAAGGCAGCTGGAGCTCAGCCTGGCTATGGCGAGCGGTCCAGCTTGAGAAGGAGGAAGAAGGGGGTAAGGTAGGAGAGTGGCGAGGTACTTACCTGGCTATGGTGGACTCCATCTTCATCACCTGGTAGGGCGCTGCATCTGGAAGGCCCCCGCTGGGGTAGTACGGCACCAAGGAGGTCTGAGCAGGGTCAGGCATGGCGGAGCAGCAAGCAGCACCATAGCTGATTTGGGGTTGGCCGTTGCACATCAGGGCTAGGCCCAAGTACTCCGCCATAGCCTAGGCTTAGAGAGATGAGAGGAGGAGGAGCCATGGCTATGGTGGACCGATGTATGAGTCAGCAGTGAGGGGGAACTTCGGACATTGATTCTGGATCATTCATTCATTGTTATTATTATTATTATTGCAAGAGGAATAAGATTGGGGGAAGTTGGAAGGAGGAGGAAGGTGGAGAGAGAAGGGGGAGTTGTCATTTGTCTTGCTGGTGTACTTCTTCTTCTTCTTCTTCTTCTTCTTCTTTCTCTCT